TTCTAGAGAAGGCTGAGAATATCATGGATGGAACATGTGTGAAACGAGGAAGTTTTAAGGGAAACGGAAACTAAAATGACACATAGTTAAAGTCAAAAGAAAACAGTTTAAATATTTGGGACACTTAATGAGGGTCTAGCGAATTTAACACTTGCTGGGTGTATTGGAAATAAAAGAGACAGAGAAAAATTAACCTACCTAATGAGTGTGTGTATGGAGGAATAGCAGAGAGGTGACAAAGATATATGTTAAAATATCTAATATCTTTTAGAGCTACAAAACACGGCATGTTAATCAGTGCCAGGATTGTCTAAGTCCTAAATAGACACGTCATATAAGAGTTAAAAACGAAATCTTTCTTCTTCTTTTTTTTCCTATAAAAAAGCTATGTTGTGTCTTGCTTACGTGAAGGAAACTTAATTGTATCAAGGATTGTCTATTTAAAAGCTTTTATTTGTAATAATTGACGTTTAAAAGTGAAACGAAATAATTTCGCTATAATTAAAGATATCAATTATCTGCACTTCCGTACATAGTGCTTAATTTAGTCTTGACTCTCCCATCTACTTCAGAGCCATTTCACGATGCAAATATCGCCAAACATCATCTTCCCAGATACAATCGTTCCCACTTACGGAGGGACGGTGCAAGGTTTTCGTGACCACCACCCTCTGAATCTATTATACACGGCCGACCACTCTAATACATTAATTTTCGTAAGGTTGTATTCATTTAAAACACAAATTTTATAGTAACCTAATTATGTACAATAATGGAATATACGCAATATAGGCGAGAAATTCAAATAGAGAATTTGAAAATAAATACAATGTATCTGATACAAACTGGAGTTATAATAGATCATTCCATCTTAAATAAATCAATGTTTTGCGGTTATTTTTAACATCATGTTGAGTTTTATCTTGTTAAAAAGTTAAATAATTTTAGCACATTCAGCATTATGAATGAGAAATAGTGAATTTGATATAGCGTTTTTTCGAATCTTAGCATGAACAAAACAAATTTGGACGTATTTGGACGCAAAAAAAGAACTCAGATTGACATCAGAATTCCGTGAATGTTTTTCATCTTTTAATAATCTGTTGTGCTCAGTTTAATTTGTAACGTATATAAATATAATTAGAAAAAAGATAATGTTCATAAGAGATTTCCAAAGCCCTACAAGCGCCCAACGACAGGGTTGCCACCCCACTCCGATTGGGGGGTTCGAAGGTAGTACGAGCCGACTCTGCACGTATGAATAATGAGAAATTTTGTTCGAAAAAAAAAAAGCCCAGAATAATAAGTGAAGAAAAATGATTTAAAAATTAACCCAAATAAGGAAAAAAAAATTTTTTTTTTATAAATTTCACTCCAGTTAGTTGAAGTGTAGTTAGTTTACATATTTTGATAATTTTGTAATATTTTATAAATTTTTGAATAAAAAGATTAATTCTCTAATTTATTTCTTCATAAAAGATAGATAATAAATATAGCATTGTGCTTGTTTGAGTATTTTTATCATCCTGGCGATACTTTCAATGGTGCCCCAGTTGCATGAATTTAAGCGTCCTACTGGGTTGGCATCTCGGTCCCACCCTTTTACAGTCGAAACAGTTAAATGTAACCGCCTCTTCTACTCCAGCAGCTTCTCTCGCACTTCCCGATAATGGAACTTGCTTCCTCCTTCTTGCTTCCCTGATAGCTATAATATTCAAATATTCAAATGCAATGTCAGTCGACATCTTCTGATGCTTTGACCTTGATCACCGTCCTTTTCTTTATCATTTCCTAAAACACCATCCATTACTTTTACTTTCACTCTCTGTAACCCTTTGCATGCTAGTGGCATTCCGCCTTGCTTGAGGTGAAATGCTTAAAAAAAATAAACATTGCCAAACGAATCAAAAGTCTATACAATAATAGATATTAAACACTATTTATTTATTATATTGAATAAAAAACTGTTTTCATAAATTTTTGAACAAAAAATTTATTTTCAAATTTATTAGTTTTGAAAGGTTAAAAATAAATATAACATTTACTTGATTCACATAGTTTTGTAATAGTAAATAATTATTTCGGAGGGATTTAAATATGTAATACAATAATAGCGGTGTCAAAGGAATAATCGTCCTTTGACACGCCACTAGTTTTTTTTTGTTTTTTTTTGCAGGCACGAAGGTTAAACTTTACCATTCTTTTTATGTATAAATAAACGATTCCTGGGATTCTAAAGCAAATCCATAATGACTTTGGAAACGTTAAAGAGAAGCCAAGAATAGCATCCTTAAATTCTTTGCCATCGCGTTGTTCTCTTTTTGTTCGAGTGCGTTCAACAGTTCCGCTCGTTAATAAAAAGAAATAATTGTTAATATGATAGACAGGAATTTGTCAGATATATACTGGTATTTTTAAACACAGCATTCTTCTTATATATGCCGATCATGGATCTCCACAATCTCCTATTTTTGTAGCTCTTTTGTTATCATAGCTAAACCTTGTTCCGTCACCCATTTACTCAAACTCACTAGGTAGGTTATGCATTGTTTTACTCTGTCGCTCTTGACTTTTATCTGTCATGTGAGTATCGCAGCCCGATTTCAAAATGGTGGGTCCTAGAAATTTCAACTCTCTTTTCTTAATGTTAAGTATACGTCTCCTATTTGCTTTCATTTTTTCCCAAATCTTCATCATTCCTCACATGATAAGTTCATGGTATTCTCAGCATCTTCCTGTAGAATCACATTTCTTTTGCTTCATGTATCTTTTTCATTTGTCCAGATTTTGTCCGACATTCGCTGCCATATAGGATAACTGATATTACGTAAAAATTCAGTACTCTTTTCTTTGTTACTAACGAATTTTTCTGTTTCTTAATACTTTGCTTAGCTTTTAAAAGACATCTTTCTCCCTACCAATACCCCTTCGGATTTCGTTGTCGCATTTTCCGTCCTCTGTTAAAATCTTCCAGGAAATTCAAACGTATAGAAAGGTTTCACATAACTTGACAGCACTAGAGGCTACAATATTGTTTTAATATTTATTGCGGTATTTCAAAGAATTTCGTTGGCAAAATTATCGCTATATGTATTGGGTGAGAAAATTTGAATCAATTGGCTTTGGTTAAGTATTTTGAGTAAGTATTATACAGGCGTAAAGAAGTGTGAAATTATATAATGTGCGTGTAGAAAAGGTTTGTGCGTTGCTTCGGGAAAATACCCACCCAAATATTAAACCAAACATATATCTATATCAATATTTTTGGATTTATATGTCAGTGATTTCACTAAAATTTCGACATAAACAATTTCTATGTCATTTATTTAAATTTTACTGTTCTTACATGTTTATATCTTTATAATATCTGGCGTCAGTACAGACATTTACCCGCAAGTTTATGTGCAAATTATAGAAATGGTTTATAAATATATATATATATATATATATATATATATATATATATATATATATATATATATATATATATTATATATTATTTAATTTATTCGAATATTATAACATAAATATGTTATAATTTATAATTTATAACATATTTGCTTTTATGATTTATAGCATATTTATTTTATAACATATTGTTATTATAATTTCGAATTAATTATATTTGCTCTACTCTGTATTGAGTACTCTTTTAAGAATGGTATTTTCAGGTTATTGGAATTTATTTTGTATACACCAATCCTATACTTGTATATATATATATATATATATATATATATATATATATATATATATATATATATATATTGCTCGACACTCTTCCGTCGAATCCGACATATGAGGGTCAAAGCAGATCAGTTCCCAGGAAACCGACAGCCCGACAACAGCACATCAGATTTGATTATAGTGGTGAAGGTTTCGTGCAGGACCATCCACACTTTTTGAAGGGCCGAATACAGAGAACTACTGCACTACGTGCCACAAGGTCCCCAAACGACCCTCTTCAGGTTTTGAATTCAGAGTTGTCCTTCTCCTAGACCAGTTGCCATCCAAGGCTATAGAACCCAGTCTGTCTTGCTATTTACCCATAGCTGGAGGGAGAAGAAGAGGATTCATACCTTTCCCAAGGGTACTAGCACGTAAGTGAATGTAACGGATTCGACTGAAATTAACTCGGCTCTCCGATTCCTCAATATATATATATATATATATATATATATATATTACAGAAATGTTTTATATAATTTATAGAAATATAATATATTTCATTTATATTATCTCCTTTTTGGCATTATTTTACATGCCTCATCTTTAAACATGAAAAAGAAAGTCAGTGGATTTCAGAAAAGGTTGTCTTTTCTCACAAGTCCGGCTGGTCATGTTGCAAGTGACTGTGTCTACCTACAGTCTTGTCCGTATAGGCTGAGCTTCATTGACTGGCCGTTAAAGATCACATGACAAGACAAACCTAATGCACAGTAAGTTAGGAAGAAGAAGAAAAGTTAACCAGAGAATACGTTTATATCAACGCTTCAAAAATCTAATAAAAGGCTTTTTACTTTTTAGTACATTTGGAATTCGCTCGTGGGTAAACAAAACTCATTTTTAGACGCGAACATTTTTTCTTAAATCTCCGAAATTTTTACGAGGTTACTGTTCAGTATTTCTGAAAATATTTCCATCTTACTGTATTCAGTGATGTTTGTCATCGTTGCTTATTGCTTCTGTATGTTTGAAAAAAAAATTCTGGAGAAACGAACAGAAAATAATGATATGGTTTTAAGCATGACATTTTTGGTTCGCCTAATGTCGAGGTCACCCTAGCTGGTTGCTTTGATTACGTCGGCGTATTGGCCTCGATTTATTTCAAAAGAATAAAAATTGCGTAAACTTCGCCTGACTATTTTCGCTAGTTTCGCTCAGCATATTTTATATAAAGACTTCGGAATTGTTTTGAATCTGCGCTGAGATTTCTTGTTGAATTTGTAAAAAAAAACAAAAACTTTCAAATAAGCGATGTAACGAAATCATAATTTCTGTTAAACAAAGGCTACATACTCACATACATACAGCATGTATGCATGCAGATAGATAGATAGATAGATAGATAGATAGATAGATAGATAGATTGATTGATTGATTGATTGAAAGAGAACAAAGATAGATAGATAGATTGAAAGAGAACATAGATAGATAGATAGATTGACTGATTGAAAGCGAACAAAGATAGATAGATAGATAGATAGATAGATAGAAAGAGAACATAGATAGATAGATAGATAGATAGATAGATAGATAGATAGATAGATAGATTGATTGATTGAAAGAGAACATAGATAGATAGATTGAAAGAGTAGATAGATAGATAGATAGATAGATAGATAGATAGATAGATAGATAGATAGATAGATAGATAGATAGAGTGAAAGAGAACAAATATAGATAGATAGATTGAAAGAGAACATAGATAGATAGATAGATAGATAGATAGATAGATAGATAGACTGAAAGTGAAGAAAGACAGACTGATTGAAAGAGAACAATGATAGATTGAAAGAGAACATAGATAGATTGATTGAAAGCGAAGATAGATAGATAGATAGATAGATAGATAGATAGATAGATAGATAGATAGATAGATAGATTGAAAGAGAACAAAGACAGATTGATTGAAAGAGAACAAAGATATATAGATAGATAGATAGATAGATAGATAGATAGATAGATTGAAAGAGAACAAAGATAGATTGATTGAAAGAGAACATAGATAGATAAATAGATTGAAACCGAACAAAACAGATAGATACAAACAGAAAGAAAGATACATAAATAGATAGATAGATTGTAAAAAGAACATAGATAGAGAGAGAGAGAGAGAGAGAGAGAGAGAGAGAGAGAGAGAGAGAGAGAGAAACAAACAACCAAAGAAAGATAAATAGATTGTAAAAGAACATAGATAGATAGATAGATAGATAGATAGATAGATAGATAGATAGATAGAAACAGAAAAAAGTTAGATAAATAGATAGATTGTAAAAGAACATAGCTAGCTAGCTAGATAGATAGAATGAAGCAGAACAAATATAGATAGATTGAAATAGAACAAAGATCGGATAAATAAAAATTAGAAACAGCAGATAGATAGATTGACAAATAGAAGGTAAGAGAACAAAGATATGTAGATAGATTGAAACGGAACAAAGATAGATAAATATTTAAATAGACTAAAACAGGACTAATATAGATTCAAATAGAAGAAAGATAGATAGATTGAAACTTAACATATATAGACGGAAACAGAAAAAAATGTTGATAAAAGATAGAAACAGAAAAAAGATAGATTGTAAAAGAACAAGACAGATTGAAACAAAACAAAGTTGGATAGATAGAAACTGTTATTTTCTACTCCATGTCGCTTACTGAGTCGTAAATTGTAAAATTGACATGAACGCTGCAATTGAAAATTTAACACTGTCTAAACAAACACTTATACACACATATACACGCACCCAGCTGACATTTTGGTCACAAACTTATCGTTATTTGGTCGTCGGGTGCGTGTATTTATGTGTTAAGGAAATAGGCAAGAAAACAAAACAAAATAGAAAATATTTAGTCTATCTGGAGCATCTTTTATGTAGAGAAAATTCAATGAATGTTCTTAAGTGACTCTGTAAATAACGAAGGAAAAGTTGAATTTATTCTGCTAGTGAATGAGTGACTAAGTGTGGTTTGGTCTGTACGCCATGTTGGCTTTATTGCCTAGAGCGCTTACTTTAGCGTCCTGTCACGACTCCTGCCCGAGATGCAAAAGAACTAGCATCCTCCTCCTATGTACAGCACACAAGCCCCGATTTTTTGTCTTATTACGCATTCCCAAACACTGACAAGGATTTACTTTTACTAACAGGGTCTTTTCACGCAAGCATTTGGTAAAATGTTTAACATCTTCTTTACAATAAAAAAATAAACTAGTCAAGATGAATTATAAAAATACTTTAAATAAGAGCTTGTATAATAATGTTCTCAGCTATGGATTGATGTAAAACTGAGCTCGCTAGCCTTGGATGAGATCCCTTCTCCTTGGACCAAGTTGCCCATTTCGGAATGACTGGCTGTAGTTAGAATAACTTGTCAAATTTCAGAAAGACTAGCTGTAGTTAGAATTAAGATCTGACGAGACAAAAAATTCAGGAAGAACAAAGGAATATATAGTAATAAAATATAATTAAATGAAATAAAATGAAAAGAAAAAAAGTTGAATTTATTCTGCTAGTGAATGAGTGACTGAGTGTGGTTTGGTCTGTACGCCATCTTGGCTTTATTGCCTAGAGCGCTAACTTTTGCGCCCTGTCACGACTCCTGCCCAAGATGCAAAAGAAAAAAAAAGAAAAAGAAAAAAAGAGAAGGAACAAATAAAGGGATAAAACATTTGGATAAAAGTTTGGAAATCTATTGTTAAAAGAATGGGGTGTGCACGAAAAATATAAAGAAAACAGAGAGAAGAACACCGTAGACGTCTATAGATGCGTATGTGTACATAAGTGAACATAACACTGTGTAAATATATACAAGCCACCACACAAAATTATGAATCTCAATATTCATAAAGATATAAATACATAATACAAGATTAATATGTATTTACATTAAACTTCCATACTTCTAACATAAGAAAATGTGGTATAGAACCAAAGGTGGTATACAAGAGGGTGACCGGAAAGTAGCCGTCAGTGTACATGGCAATACTTCCATTTCTGAATAGTGTGTAATAAGGGAAATCATAAGTGGCAGGACATAGAAATGTAAAAGGGAGGTGATGACTGTTAAAAATATAGGAGGTAGCCCCGATTTTTTTTTCTTTTTACGCACTCCTCCAAACTAAAATGTGTTTACTTCCACTGACAAGACCTTTTCGAGCATGCATGTTTGGTAAAATGTTTAACATCTTCCATACAATTGTTGCAGTATGCCTACAGACGATAATGGGTATGTCCTCATTCACATAAAAACAGTAATAAATATGTTGGTCTCCACTTGGAGATTCATCTCCAGCTGTGCTGGTCGAACTCTCTGCCTTCGGGTGGCAGAGTCTCGTCTGGGGTTGTAGACAGCTACCCGATCCCGTTTTTACGGCGTCTACGGGGAATTTTTGCCCGAGCCTACGGGCTCGGATACCCAACTTTAAATTAGGCCTTGTGCTACATCTGACCACGTGGGGCGGTTGGCAGATATCCTTGGAGATTCGTCTCCGGCTGTGCTGATCAAACTCTCTGCTTCCGGGCAGAGAGGATCCCCAGACGTATTTATGTCGAAGATGCAGAGTCTCATCCCGCGAAACAGCTACCCAACCCCGTTTTATACGAGGTTTACGGGGAATTTTTGGCCGAGCCTACGGGCTCGGATACCCCACATTAAATTCGCCCTTGTGCCACATCTGACCGCGTGGGGCCGTTGGTAGATATCCTGCAATTAGTGATTCATTCACTTGACTCGCTTCTAGCAGTTGACTACTTCTTCTACGCGCCGCTGACGAATCTTATATGTGTGGTTCTTGTCCTAATTATTATCGTTTATTACCAACTTCGTTTGATTATTCTATTCAGTAACCTTCCCTACATTACAACAACAATAAAGAAACAGAAACAATAACAGGAAAAATAAACTAGTCAAAAGGAATAATAAAAATATTTTAAATAAGAGCCTATATAATAACGTTCTAGTCTATGAATTGAATCACATATAAAACTGGGTTCTCTAGCCTTGGTTGTGATCCCTTCTAGGAGAAGCATAATTCAGAATATTGGAGATGGAGAAATAGAAACCACTCTATTGTTTTTTGGGTTTTTTTTTTATCAGTTCGTCCCAAGCAATGCGACAACATCAAGGGAATGAATGAGAATGAAAAGACTTTAGAAGGAAGCAGAATCCTAAAGTGGAAACTAGAGATAAATCTCTTCCCCGATTCAAAATCCCTGGAGGAGTGTGAACTGGTCGATAGGTGAGTCTATCTCCTTCTATTGAAAAGAAGAAACGTAAATAAATGCAAATTATTAAATAAAGTTTCAGAGTTCATGCGAAGACGTTAAACATATAGAGGTGAAGGAATCGGAAACCCAATACTAAACAGGAAATAAAGGAGGAATCTATCAACTTCTGTTAAGAAGAAAAATAAATAAGTAATTAGTAAAGAAAATTTGTCAATTCAGCTGGAGACATTAGAGTATACAGTTGAAGTCAACTACAGTAGTAACCGGAAACCGAAATCTCAAATTGAACTTGCACTTTGCCTACATGACTTTTTAGCAAGTGTGTTTTTCTTATACTGCACATGTTGTTTACTGATCACCACGTTAACAGAACAACGTGATAAATTCGCACTATTGTTTTGATAAATCAGAAACCATACAATTCTGCAATCTTAGGGTTCTCCGTTAATCCCAGGACTTTCTTAGAGGAGTGTCCACATTTATTATATATATATATATATATATATATATATATATATATATATATATATATATATGTATGTGTGTGTGTTTGTCTGTGTGTCTGTGTGTTATATGTTATAGTGGAACACACCTATTCTATAGTTAATAGACTCTCCCACCTATAATTAGTAGGAGTAGTAGCAGTCGCTGAGGGAGTTGGTCAGTCAGTCGATGCCGGACGACCGTTAGTCGGATACTAAAGTATCAGCGACCACGTTCAAGTTCCTAACGTTTTGTACGTCGAACCTATTTTAGGACTGACTTAGTACAAATACAAGCCTCAACTGTGAAACTACTCTACAACAATATATATATATTACAATTATTTTAAAAACATATGATTTCATCGCTACACAGGAGTTACCATGTTTCAAAAACAGAAGTTATAAACTTCCAATTTAATTATAGAAATTAAATTACATTAAAGTTACTAGTTCTGTTAAAGTCGTATATTTATATATTTTCTTCTACCGGCCTGATTATTCGGGAAGAAAAGATGTGCTTTCTGGTAGGATGGGAAACTGCGTCTCCCTTGCGGGGGGAAAACGTCGTTAGTTCCGTCGTGATATTTAGTTTTGGCTTCTCCTTTTTTTATTAAAAAAAAAAGTAAATAAAAAAGGAAAAACAACGACCAATAACATTAACTATAAACACGGCCACAATTTGATGACCGTGTTTGGAAAATAAATCATTTCTACTTCTGACACATACATAAAAATGTCATACATTCAGTTATAAATGAAAAATAAAAATTAATATCGCCCTTGATAATGGCGAAAAAATAGTCGAAAGCGCTCGAAGATGCAGAACTTTTGGACAGTTATTACAATTTTGCCTGAAAAGAAAAAAACACTAATATGAACAAATTAAATAAAAAGGTTGATCGCAGTACCTTGTCAGCCGTCTTTAACGAAAGCATATGAAAATATGCCTTTATATATATATATATATATATATATATATATATATATATATATATATATATATATATATATGTGTGTGTGTGTGTGTGTGTGTGTGTGTGTGTGTGTGTGTAGGAATAATTCCCATGAGATAAATCCAGGAGAGCTGAATATAGAGAACAATAACAATAATGATAATAATAATAATGATATCTATCTATCAATATATATATATATATATATATATATATATATATATATATATATATATATATATATATATATACAGAGAGAGAGAGAGAGAGAGAGAGATGTTGCATGCGTGCAGGGTATGGGTGAGTATTGACTAATGCATATGTACCCTCATTTTTGGATGGCTGATGACTGATTTATTCGAGGGATTGTTTTTGCGTCAGTGCACCTAAAATAATGGAAAAGGCAGACTGGTTATATGCGTGTTCAACATGACATCTGCGCTAACGTTGAAAAGTTGGCAGGGCGCAGGTTGGTGTTGGCCGGGTGGTGGTAATGGAATGGAGAAATGGTGCGTGCATGTGAAATAAGTCAGTTGAATAGGATGCTGACCGATGACAAACCTAACCTTCCATCCTACCCCCCCACACACTTTAAACCCCACTCCACATTTTGTCC